CAGGGCGGGCCAGCACAGGAGCAGAGCCGCCTTCAGCCACCAGTGAACGTGCCCCAGAACACAGGTGGGACGTCAGGGCCCAGCTCACCTGAGGAATCCTCAGAGCGGAGGGTCTTCTTGGCGACTTCAGCCAGGGCTCCAAAGCCCAGACCCACAGCCAGACCTGGAAGGAGGGGAGGGCGCTGGGCATTTGCATGGGAGCGGGCTGCTGCCTACTGGCCTCCACCCACAAGGCCCCTCCCCCACCTCCACACACACACACACACACACACACACACGCACCCCTCAGCTTCCCAAGGACCCTCGAAGACACTCCAGACCATTTTTTTAATCCTCACCAGAGGACATGCTGGGAGGGATGGAGGGAGGAAAAGAGAAACAGAGAAAGGGAGAGGGGGGCGGAGGGAGAGAAAGAGAAGGGGGAGGGGGGAGGGCATCGAAATGAGAGGAACATCCATCAGTAGCCTTCCATCCGTACCCCAACTGGGGATCAAACCATAACCCGGTATGTGCCCTGACCAGGGACTGAACCAACAACTCTCCGGGGCACAGGACGACGCTCAGAGGACAGAAATGTAGGGACACACATATCTGTTGTTTTCAGAGAAGATCTGGCAGGTGCATCTGTCCCCTCCCCCATCACCTTTGCTCACATACAGGCGACGGGACACACAAACACCCCAGGACAACACACAACAGAGAACAAGGCTGGGAGGACCCAGCCCAGGGAGAGGGGCCAGGAGCGGGCGCCCGTGGAAGGCAGCCCCGCCTGCGCAGGCTGGGAGAGGAGGCTCAGGTCTTCAGGGCCCTGACTGCGCTCCTCGGAGGAGACCACACGACAGGGGCCTGACGCAGCCGCTGCAGCGAGTGGGAACATTCTGCAAAAGCAAACAGTCGGGGTCCCCAATCCAAACTGGGAGACGCACAGGAATTCAGGCTGCAGCCCTCACGCAGGCACCCACAGTGGTCGCAGCCCTCCCTCTCCCTTTTGCAATCTTCTAGATCCAAGTTCCTCCGGGCCTCGTGCGCCCGGAGGCAGGGCCTGGTGCGCCCAGAAGGAGGCAGGGAAGCGGATGGTCTCACCTGCCCAGGGGAGGCCTGCCTGGAGCCACCCCCTCCACTTTCTAACAGGTCTAGCTGCTGGGGGTGGGGGTGGGGGCGGGAGGCACATGAGCAGAGAGAGAATGAAACCAGGTGGCTGAGCACACGGACTACAGCAGAGGCCCTGGAAGGCACTAAAGAGGCCCTCAGGCCAGGGGGCCCCCAAGAGCACAGCCCCGGGCCCAGGGGCGGAGGGAGCAGCAGCCCCCATGCCCAGAGGGGACAGCCTCACACTGGGTGCTCTGATGAACCGGTAAGGAAACCTGCACACATCTCCCAAATTTTATAAAAAATAAAAGCTCCTGCCTCATAGTCACTGGAGATTAAACACCTGAACAAAGTCATGAGGTGCTTCCCGTGGGGCTGGCACAGGTGCTGCTGTAAACGTGTTTGCTGTTATTACCGTGGCTCCTGTCCAACATGGCCAGACCAGTCCTGTCCAAAGGAAATACCACGCCAGCCACACGGAATATTTTTACAAGCAAAAAGCATGTAAAATGAATTCTAACATATATTTTAAACCAGTTTATCCAAAACGTTATCATTTCAACAAGTACTCAGTATAAAAATTATTAGCGCCTTAGCCCGTTTGGCTCTGTGGATAGAGCGTCGACCTGTGGACTGAAGGGTCCCAGGTTGGATTCCGGTCAGGACACATGCCCGGGTTGCAGGCTCAATCCCCAGTGTGGGGCATGCGGAAGGCAGCTGATCAATGATCTCTCATTGTTGATGTTTCTCTCTCTCTCCTTCTCCCTTCCTCTCTGAAATCAATAAAAATGTTTTAAATTATTAGACATGTTTTACAGTGTGTGTCTCGCCTGAGCCTGGCTCAGTCTGGACCAGCCACATTTCACGTGCTCGGCACCCGTGTGGCTGGCGGCTGCAGCGCGGGAGGGACAGTCCGGGGCCACAAGAGGCCGCGCTCTGCGACCACAGAAAGAAGCCACTTCTCCCTTCCTCTCTGAAATCAATAAAAATGTTTTAAATTATTAGACATGTTTTACAGTGTGTGTCTCGCCTGAGCCTGGCTCAGTCTGGACCAGCCACATTTCACGTGCTCGGCACCCGTGTGGCTGGCGGCTGCAGCGCGGGAGGGACAGTCCGGGGCCACAAGAGGCCGCGCTCTGCGACCACAGAAAGAAGCCACCGTCATCTGGGTGCCCTCGGGCCCACCAAGGACATCCTGGTGGACTGGCATGCAGGTGCCAGACCTGTTTTCCCTCTGGCGGTCACTGGGAGCCTCGTCTCCAATTAAACATTAACTCTCCTGCCCACCCCTCACATTATCTGACTTAGGAAAACAAACGATAACAACCTTCAAACTCTAGTAAGTTTCACTAGTGTCTGCATCTAGATTTTTCTCTGCCTAGATCAAGTCCAAAGAGCCTAGCCATTGGGAACAGACACTAAAAAATGTGTGTGTGTGTGTGTGTGTGTGTGTGTGTCTGTGAGTGTATGTGTCTCTGTATCTCTGTGTGTCACTGTGTGAGTGTGTCTCTGTGTGTCTGTGTCTGTGTGCGTGTGTTTCTGTGTGTGTGTATGTGTCTGTGTGTGTCTCTTTGTGTCTGTGTGTGTGTCACTGTGTGTGTCTGTGTGTGTGTGTGTGTGTGTGTGTGTCACTGTGTGAGTGTGTCTGTGTGTGTGTGTGTGTCACTGTGTGTGTGTGTGTGTGTGTGTCCCCCGAGTGGGGGGGCGGGGTGCTGAGCCCCTCTTCTGCAGGCAGAGGCACCCTCCAGCTCCTCCTGCTGGGCCCCCTCAGATGCTTGGTCAAACTGTTCCCTGGTCATCTCTAGGCTGCAGGTCAGAGCCCAAACTCTCCAAGGCCCAGGGCCTGTCATCAAATCACTAAACAAGAGAACCGGCTACACGGTGGCCTCGGGCTCCTGCTGTGGCCCTACACGCTCCCTCAGGACCAGCCCAGGGCCAGGCCGCCAGGCAGCCCTGACCTTGGCCTCCAGAGCTCCTGTGTGTGACTGAGAAATGGTGGCTCCTGCCAAGCGGAGAGCAGTTCCCAGAACTCTGCTGGGGGCAAGGCCAGACCCAGCTGGGTCCTCCTCCTGCCAGATCGGGGCGCCTCCGCCCGGATTCTCCAGGTCCTGGTGAGGACACCCAGAGCTGCTCGCTGTCCGTCCCCTGTGGCCCATCGGCCCCCCAGCACCCGGAGCCCTCAGGACGGCACGCCTCTCCCCCCACTTTCTGATTCGTCCTCAGGCCCAGCCTGGCTACACAGTCTGCTCGGAGACCCGAGAACCAGCGTGGAGCCCGCTGTTAGCCCAGCCTGGCCTCCGTCCCAGCCAGCACCTTCTAAGAAAGTTCCTGACATTCCCATTTCCCTCACAAACGGAAGTTTACGTCAAGAAATGGGGTGGGGAGAGGGGTCGGAGCGGGGCTCTCCCCCGGCAGGGATCTGGGAGCCCAGGCCCAGCCTGGCCCCTGCGCCCGGAAGTCCCTCTGGAGGCCACCAGAGCCCATTGTGGCCCTTCCTGGAGCAGCCACTGGGCTTCTGGCCAGAGGCTCCAGGGCTAAGAAAAGGAGACAGTGAAACGCCTTCTAACAACAGCGTGTTGGTGAGGGGCCTGGGAGAGGTGCCGCAGGAGGAGGTGAGGAAAGGCTCTCCGGACCCCAGGCTCGGCAGGGGAGCGACAGGCGCGGGCGCTTCCGTGTGACAGCAGGGGGCGTGCACAGCGACAGCACAGGGCACTCCCGAGGCCTGACAGCGGAGCCCCGTCTGCATTAGCACATCTAACGACCCTGAGCTGGCAAGCAAGTCCACAAAGCAGAGGTCCTCTGCTTCCGGCTCCGAAGGCTCGGTAATTCAGTCCCCTCTCTGCATCGCTGCGTCCTCCCCGCCCGGCCCTTGGAGGAGAGGCCCTGTGGGGGGCGCAGCCCACAGCACAGGAGGAAGGGGACAGGGAGCCGCAGGAGGAAGGGGATAGGGAGCCGCTGGAGGAAGCTCCCTGGAGGGCGTTCCGCAGGTTCTCTGGGGCTGGCCCTCCCACTGGGTAGGGGAGGACCTAACACACTCTCTGCTGGCTGCAGGGGACAGGGCACAGGGACAGGCAGCCGGTCAGACTGCCATCTGTGAGAGGGGTCCCTGGGCGAGTGGGGCGTGGCTCAGCCTGTCATCTGTAACTGGAGACAAGAACTGCCTGACCCTCCTCCCGCCCTCAGAGGGAAAAGGACACACAGAACCCTAAGCCTGGCCTGCCCAGGGCGCGGAACGTCTTGTCCCACAGCAGCCCTCCTGGCTGCTCAGCGAGCCGAGCCGCGAGGAGCTTGGGGCTGGGGGACAGGCTGCACAGCACGTGCCCTCGGGAATCAGGCAAGGAAACTGGCGTCACTAAGTGCCACCCCACGAGGGGCCAGAGTGAGTCCGGCCCTGGACACCGCCCTGTCAACCCAGGGCCTGGTCTCCACAGCCACCAAGAACAGCAGGTGCCCATCAGTCAATATTGTGTGGGGAAGCCTGACCTTAGACAAGTCAAAGAGGGCAGTGTGCCAGGTCAGAGCACACAGCGCTGCTGCCGGAGGCACCAACACTCTCCCCTCCCGCCCTGGCCCCTGCCCCAGCTAAAGGCCTCACCACTGCAGGCTGACTCTGCAGGCCCAGGGGTCTCCATCAGTGTCTAGACACAGAGATGGTGGGGTTGAATCTATCACAAACTCAGTGACTCAACTGACTTTCCTTTTATCTTGGAATCATGGCTAAAATATCCTTTTAAAAGACCCATAAGTAGGGCGGGATGGGGGCGGGAGGGCCAGGGCCAGCCGGGGAGGGCTGCCCAGGCAGCGCTGTCCCCCTCTCTCCCTCCCCCTCCCCCCATGGCCGCCTTTATAAGCTTATGAGGGTGGTGATATCGTACACCCACTTCATGCCCTTGGGCCCCAGCGTACTCGCCGCGCGTCACTTGTGCCAGGACAGACCCTAACCCAGGGACTCTGTGCCAGATCAGAACATCAGCTAACGGCTGACCACTGCCAGCCCATACCTCCCACCCACGTGGTTTGTAACTCTGGGCTTGAGAGAGAGCAAGGCTTGGAGCGCATCATGATTCACCATTCCTGGTGCCGGCCACTGGCACCTGCCTTACCACCTCCTCAGTAAGAGAAAGAGAAAGACCCCAAGTACTGGAGAGACCAAGCTCAGCAGACCCTGAAAAATGCCAAGCCTTCAGAACCTTAACACCAATGTGGCTAAGAATACCATCATGTTCCTGGGAGATGGGATGGGTGTCTCCATGGTGACGACCACCCACATCCTCAAGGGCCAGCTGCACCACAACCCTGGGGAGGAGATCAGGCTGGAGCTGGACAAGTTCCCACACGTGGCCCTCTCCAAGACACACAGCACCAACGCTCAGGTCCCCAGCAGCGCAGGCACTGCCACTGCCCACCTGTGTGGGTGAAGGCCAATGAGGGCACCGTCGGGGTGAGCGCGGCCACCCAGCGTTCCCACTGCAACATCACTCAGGGGAACAAGGTCTATCCCTGCGGGGAGCGGGCTTAAGCTATCAGTCGGACATCCCCTGAGGGCTCCCAGACTGCAAGAGGGCGCAGGCTGAGCTGAGGGACCCGCCCCCCCAGTGCCTCTAGTTTTTTAATAAAAAGCCCTGGCTGAGTAGTTCAGTTAGTTAGAGCGTCATCCTGATACACCAAAGTTGTGGGTTGGATCTCGGTCAGGGCACAAATAAAAATCAACCAACCTATATATATAAAAGGCTAATATGCTAAGTGTCTGTCTGGGTAATGACATCACATAGCAACACCCAGCTTCCTCTCCCTAGCGACTAGCCTCCTTGCACTTTCTTCAGCCCAGGAACACGGCTTGCTTTATAGCTAGGTGGAAACACTTTACACTGTAACCGCATGTCTGTGAAGTGTGTTCCCGTGCCTCATCTCATTTGATCCTCAAAGAAGTCTGGAGTTGGTAGATAGGAGACTCGGTGGAATCCTATTTTCTTTTCATTACCCAGAAAACAGAGATTTAGAAAGCTTAGAAACTTGACCCGACTGAAAAGAAGAAATGGTGGACCTTGAAAATGACTTCAGGTTTTCTCACTGCGCAGAATATAGTCAAACACTGCTGCAGTTCAATATTTTACCCTTTGTCCTCCCTGTGTGATCTACAATAATAATCTGCTTCGTGTTGATAGTTACTGCTGTGTTGCTGACAATTACCTGAACAAGAAGTTGGGGTGCTTCACTGGGCTGGAAAAAGTTTAGCTAAATCAGAAAGCAGGTCTAATTAAGCAAGTTTATTCTATATCTATAAAAGGCTAAGTTGACTCACGCATGTGCAATACATATAAAGCTCTCATTGGCGCCAATTGACGTGTGTGTTTCTATCTGTCATTGTCAATCGTAAATTTGGTTGACACTTCTATTATAGAGAAAGGGCAAATAGCGATATTAAAATATCTCTTCTAATCCTTTTAGTGGAAACAACTAATCTCTCTCTCTCTCCCTCTCTCTCTCTCTCTGAAATAAATTTAAAAAGAAAGTAATGTTACCCAACTAACAGCCACTGTGCAAAGCAGGGAACGAACCATGCCAAGTCTTCTGGGGAGCAGGGACCACTGGAGGCCACCAAAGCAGTGATTCTCAAACTCCTTCTGGTAGTGGCACCCCAGGACCTTATGTTCTGTGTAACCCACCCTTCTCTTCTGTTAATACTGTTCATTATTAAAAGTGTTTTTACAGAAGAGGAATTGTTAACTGATACGTAGCCCATGGCTAAGCAGCATATTTGTGTCAGAGTTCAGAAAGTAGCTCCAGCAACCAGACATTCTGGCTCCAGGACACTTGCTGACTCTCAACGATAAAAACCGGACCTTGCCCTGGCCAGTTTGGCTCAGTAGGTAGAGCATCGGCTTGCAGACCAAAGGGTCCCGGGCTCAATTCCAGTCAAGGGCACGTACCTCGGTTGCAGGCTCCTCCCCGGCCCAGGCCCTGATCAGGGCTCGCACAGGAGGCAACCAAGCGATGTACTTCTCTCACATCAATATTTCTCTCTGTCTTTCCCTCTCACTTCCACTCTCCCTAAAAAACAATGGAAAAAGATCCTCGAATGAAGATTAAGAATAAATAAATCCTATATAATAAAAGCCTAATATGCAAATTGTCCCCTTGGGCAGTCGTTCGACCAGGAGTTCGACCGCTCGCTATGACATGTGCTGACCACCAGGGGGCGGCATAAAACATGGCGGATGTTGGCGACGTGGCGCTGGCAACGGACAGCAGTGAAGGCGCTGCCGGCTTCGATGGGCCCCAACAACAGTGGGACCGCGGTGGGACGGTAGAGCAGGTGAGCGGGCAGCACCAGGCCAAGGCAGGTGCGAGTGGGGGTCCAATCACCCTACAGACAGCGACCAGCAGCAGCAGCGGGGGGTGGGGCCGCCAGCTGGCTCCCAGGCGCTGAGAGAGCCGGGCGGGGGGGCCGGCCCCGATTGATCACCCCACAGGCAGGATGGTGGAGCAGGTGAGGGGGAAGCGCCAGGCCATGGTGGGGTGCCAGGCGGGGCTGCAGGGCTGCAAGGCTGGGGGTGCAAGCTGGGGCTGTGAGCCTGGGGGCACAAGCTAGGGCCCAATCCCCACAGGCCACCCTGAGGGACCCACCCGTGCATGGATTCATGCATTGGGCCTCTAGTAAATAAATAAGTAAATAAATAAATACCTGACCTCTGCTCAACCAGCTTCCAGATAATCATTAGACTGGACTGTGCTGACTTCCATGAAGAGAACTTTCAATGCCCCTGATTTCTTTCTTTCCCCCTCTCCCTCCCAATAAAAACCCTGCCTACACTGAGATGTTAAGATGGTCTTTGGGACGGAGTCGCCATCTTCTCAGGCTGCTGGCACTTGTATAGACCATCCTTCCTTACATCAGCCCCTGTCTCTTGAGTACTGGCTTTCAAAGTGGCAGGCACCAAACCTGAGTTTGGTATCACTATGAGGAACTGTTTGAAATGCTACCTCAAGTAAAACAAGGCAACAGTTTTGTGCTAAAATGTAGATGACACTTTATACTAGACTATAGCAACAGATGTCAAATTTTAAGTTAGCAACGTACAAGAAAACCTTAAGGTTAAGAAAATTCTATTTGATTAACTCAGTCTGCTCTGCACATTAAGAAGACAGTCACCCCTCTATGGTTGGTGCCCAGACACCTCCTGGAAATTAAAAAAATATATATATATACACACACACATACACATATATATTAGAAGCCCTGTGCACAAATTCGTGCACAGTGGCGTCCCTCGGCCTGGCCTGTGGGATCAGGCCGAAACCGGCTCTCCGACATCCCTGAGGGGTCCTGGATTGTGAGAGGGTGCAGGGGAGGCCAAGGGATCCCACCGGTGCACGATCGGGGCCGGGGAGGGACGCGGGAGGTTGGTCAGCTGGGGAGAGACCACAGGAGGGCTCCAGGGCATGTCCGCCCATCTCGCTCAGTCCCAACTGACCGCACCCCAGAGCAAGCTAACCTACCTGTCCCAGCACCTACCCCCTGGTGGTCAGTGCACGTCATAGCAAGTGGCTGAGCAGCCTTAGCATATCATTAGCATATTACATTGTGATTGACTGAATGGCCAACCGGACACTTAGCATATTAGGCTTTTATTATATAGGATTTTTTTTTAAGATAGCCAGCCATCAACATTAGGACTCACTCCTGGGTCCAGCTCCCAGAGCACAGAGCCCATCCTAACAATGAGTGGAATGTGGCTTCCAAAAGAGAAGAGACAACAGAGAACAGTATGTATGTACACGGGAGGGGAGATGTATAATCCAGCTCAAGCAAAGGAAAAAGCAGGTAGCCACCCGATTGTGACCACTCATGGCCACTCAGCACTGGCATCATCATGAACCAAGCAGATCTCTGTTAGACACAGTCTTGCAAATAACCACTTGCCCAAGGCTCATATGTGAACTGAGTTCATTAACTTTCTGGAGAACCTTCTGAGGACAGCCACGCTTTAGAGGAATGTGCTCCCAGTCACTCTGTCTAGAAGTATACCATTACAAAGGAGATGGTGTTTTCAATAGGAACGTCTTAGTCAGTTATTAAGCAAGAGATGTGACAAGACAATGTCAGAAAGGCAGATACAACTGCTGTAAGCCTTCACGATAAAATGATCCTTCAATGCTGATAAGAGAGCACAGGTGCGCTGGGCACAACGGCTACTCAAACCCCCAAAGAAAAGGACAAAGAAAGCCCACAGCTCTACGGCATCTTAGAATGGACTTGAAATGCCGGCAGCTCAGGGCCTCGGCACCTCGTTGTCATTACTGACGCCCCACAAGCCTGTGGGAATCCGGCAAATGGGTCTCCAAACGGCTGGTTCCCGGAGCAAACACCTCTGTCTAGTCAGCCGCACAGGCCCAGCGAGGAACTCCCTCACTGTCCGGCCTCCTTCCTGCAGAGGCCTCCACAGGGCCGAACGGCGGGGAGGCCGAGGTAGTAGGAGAAGCTGATGCTGCAGACACTGAACCCCAAGCGTGGCCTGAGAAGCAAAGCTGCAGCTCACCGTGTGGCATCGGCCACACCAACCCCTAGGGTGAGCTTAGGCACAGTGGATTCCAATAACTGAATCATCCACCCGTGGGAAACATCCAGGAGCCCGTACTACTTCCCCAGGATACCTGTGGGCCCCGCCCTCTGCCACCTCCATGCTGGGGCCAGGGTAGGCCAGCCCCCCTCAGCCAGGACTGGCATGCCAGGGCAGGTGAGGGCACAGACACACAGCCACCTTACCTCCAAAGTTGGCCAGCCGCCCAATCCTTGTAACTGGCACCTTCCGCTCCCGAGCCCGCTCACTGAGCTGGAGGGACAACAGAGAGAGCCCTCAGGGAACAGCGAATGGGGACAGGGCCAGCCTTCAGGGGCTCATGCTGCCCCCATCCCCTCTCCACCACCAAAGACAGCAGCTCTGCTGGGCAGCACCTCCACCACCAAGAGGCCTCCATGTTCCCAAAGCCTCCAGACCACAGCATCCCCGGAGGGGCCTGACACCAGCACCACCGGGGAACCACCCACAGGGCCCACTCCAGGGGCCCTCCCAGACGCACCATCTGCTTGTGGGGCTTGCTCTCGGGGCGCGCCTTGGCCTGCCGGGCCTTCTCAATGTCCTCGGCTGTAAGGCCCCCCACAGGGGACTGGTCCTGGTGGAAGAACCTTCGCTGCAGGCCAGTGGGACAGAAGGGGGCTCTGCTATCTACAAAAAGCCTCCCGTCCCGCCTGCCCAGAGGAGAGGCAGTCTGCCCTGGGAGCCCAGCTTCCCTAAAGGGTCCACTGTCAGCGTAGGCAGGAGCTGGGCCCTTGCTGCTGGCGGGATCCTGGGGTGGAGACGACGGCTGGTCCTGGGAGGAGGCTGCAGAGAAGTTTGCAGAGGCGCCCTCGGCCCTTGGCCCTGAGAAGTGGAACTCTGATTCTGGGTCGTCAAAGCTCTCCGACATGTAAGATTCTTCATGCTTGTCCTGCTCCTGCAGGGAACAAAAGCCAGCGTGAGAGGAGCAAGCGGTAGCCCGCCCTCCTGTGCCCATCCCCCTCTGCACAGGACAGCACGTCCCCGCTGCCCCGCCTCCGTCCTGCAGAGGGTGACACCACATTACTCCCGAGGCCTGTGTCAGTTCTGGAGGTGAGACCCGGATCCCAGTCCTGCTTCTGCCAGGGGCGTTGTGTGGTCACTGAGAACCTGCTGGGTGTCCAGCCAGGACCAGGCCCGTTACCATCACTCCCAGCAAGTTCCTCCTCTATTAATCGGGGCTCTGGGGTGGGTGATCCAGGGAAAGAGACAGGAGACCTTTGAGAAGTCAAGCATAACACAGACCAGCGAGGGCAAGGGCAGTGTACAGACGGGGACACCCCACCACTCCAGGCCAGTGCCTCGCCAGACACGGCTCCCCTCACCGGCCACGGCCTGCCTTTAAGAGGCTCTCTCACCAGACGACTTGGCACAACCAGGTCTGGCCTGCCTGTCCTTGGGAGTTGGGGGCACATACTTTCCTTGTAACAACTGAAAAGACCTGATCTTCAGGCCCAGATTCCTTCTGCTTTAGAACTCAGAGTGACCTTGTGTGAGTTCTCCGCTATTTCCTCATCTGAAAATAGGACTCCCCCCAGTCACAGTTTTGTGGGGGCCACAGACAAGGCACAGACAGGCCAGGGGAATAGTGCCGAGGAGGCTGTAACTGGAACAGCACTGACTCCTGAGGGAGGTCAGGAGCCCGGGTTCCGTTCCACTGAAATGGACTCAGTGCACACAGTGCTGCCCGCGGCTCTGCCGACACGGAGTAGGTCCACAGCCTGCGCACCCTCAGCTCTACAGGCTACTGCCTCCAGGGACGGAAGGAGATGTGGCTGTGACTCTCATGCCCAAATGGGAAACAGGCTGAGGGACTGAGGTGACCTGGCAAAGGCCACCAGCCGGCCATTCCTCAGAGCAGAAATCAATCGTATTGGGTTCTCTGGGTACCTCTCTGGGTACCTCTCAAGATGGCCAGGCAGCCCTGGGTGAGGGGCCTGAGGCAGGTCCCTGAGAGCCACAGCAGAGCCCCTGTAGCCCCTGACTCCGTGTGGCCGCCTGGCCCTGCATGGCCATGACCGGCTTATGTGGCTCTGGGCCTCTGGGCAGGGAAGGGCCCCGTGTCTCGATGGGACCAGACCTGGTGTCTGCTGCATGAAGACGTGAACAAGCCCCTGGAGGGGCTGGAGGGAGAGGTTTCCAGAGGATCTGGCCTCCATCCCCTCGGAGAGAAGGGAGGCACAGGGCCTACGTGCTGAGGGAGAGAAGGGGAGCACACGGAGGCCAGCGCCCCGCTACGTGTCCACCTCATGGTGGGCAATGGCTCCTCCCTCCTCCCTCCAAGTGACTGTCCTGGGGGATGGCCCTGCCTGAGCAGACAGAGGAGCGGGTGGGAGCCTGGGCAGGAGGCCCCTCCCCGCCCAGGGAGGCCTATCCAGGTCTCCACGCTGCCACACGCCTGGGAGGCCCAGTGAGCTGGACAACTGCCCCTCCTGAGTGTTCCACAGGCAACACATCCAACAGGAAGGCACTCTCCTCACTAGGAACGGCACTCGGGGGGCGGAGCCACAGCCCAGCCTCACAGAGGAGGCGGGTCAGGGAGTCATACGCTGGGAAGAGGACACACGGACCTGATCCTGTCACTTAAAAACCATGGGCCTCGCATCCAACTTCTTAGTCTCCATCTCCCCACCTGAGAAAAGGGGTACACATCGAGGCCTGCCCCTTTCCAGGCCAGCAGTGAGGCTCAGGTGAGGTCACGAGTGTGAGACTTGTGAAGTTGAAGGCATTTGTGGTGAGAAATAGCCAGTAGCGCCACGGAACCCACGGAACCCACGGAACCCACGGAACCCACGGAACCCTTCGAGAGCAGCAGAGGGGGATCCGGAACTAAGACTAACCAGAGGCCTCAGGCTGTGACGGCCTCAGCCTGGCGGAGCCTGAGTGTCCTTTGTCCACAAGGTCAGCGACCACAGGGGAAACGGAAGGAGAGGGAGCAGGTGTGCTCACGCACATGGGCGCACACAGCTTCCCCTCCCCCGGGACTTTCAGAAACAGTCACTGGGGACACCTCGGTGGACAGCCCTCTGCTCCATCAAGCCCTGTTATAATCACCTGTCCTGCACGCACTTCTACCTAAAACCTTCCCCGTGGTGGTAAAGCAGAGGCTCTCTGGTCTGTGGCACAAAAGACAGCAGGAAAGACGAGAGGAAGACGAGAGGTGGAGCGGTCCTCAACTTTCACCCAGGAAAGCAACACATCAGCACCCAGAGACCCACAGAAAAATGCAGCGGGCAAGTGGGAAAAGCCTGAGGAAGCCCAACGGACACAGCCTCCTGTGGCAGCTCCATGCGGAGGCGACAGCCAATGGAACACGCTTCCCAGCCTGGCCGCCCCTGCCCAGCGGCTCTTGCTCTGCCCAGTGAAGCTCTGACAGCGGGTGGCTTCCATCACTTCTTTACAGAAATCAGCCCAACAGAAAACACTCGTTCACACAGGGAGAAGGGTTCTGCCTCTTTAAAAACTGCTCAGTGACGGCCACATGCCGGTTCCTTCCAGCTGCCTCCACAGCACACAGGCAAGTGTTACTTTTTCCTGTGGTTTTTTAAATTCCCAAAATTAAAAAGGCTTCTCTTCAATGCCTCAGCACAGGCCAGAAACTGAACACAGGCCGGGCAGAGGGAACGGGCCGGTCACTGCAATCCCCGCGGACGGGGCTTGGTCTCCCTGAGCTCGGCACCCGTGCCTGATCAGCCAGGGACTCCTAGTCGAACGCGTGGGCTGGGCCACTTGCTCCTGGGGCTCCTCTCAGCTCTGTGAAGCTTCCTCTAACTAAGGCGTGAGTCACCCAGCAGCCTCTCACAGGGGCCCTATCCCACCCGGAAGGGTAGTGGGCTACACTAACCAGTGGGCTCTCTGGCCCTGGCCACAGGGAGACCAGCCACCCTAGCTGTGTCCTAGTCTCACCAAGGGCTCCAAGTCCAGCTTCCCTCCCACTGGCACCCCCGCTGGCCCAGCCTCCTTACCTGCACCGTCCCCAGGAACATGCTGAACTGCTCTGCAGCTGTGGACTGCAGGGCCCGGGCTGCCATGATGAACTCCGCACCAAGGCCGAAGTGCTGCAGGTGGGTTTCCACGGCTGCCTCCGTCAGCTTGGCAAGGCCTTTGAGCACCATGATCGCATCCCCCATAATGGAAGCCATCCTTCAGGGCTGGAAGAGAGCAGGCCAAGTCAGGCAGGGGACACCACACCTCATACAGGGTCACACTCACACTGACCAACTCCCCGTGATCCTGGGCAGAGGGTAACTGGTTTGCACTGACCTCCCTTTTGACCTGGGCTGACAGAGCAAAGAGAGGAAGGGCCCAGGGCTCAAGGTCTGCTCTGGGCCACTCCCTGCACTGCAGCCCTGAGTAGCATGCAAGGCCCCAGGGGCCAGCTGTGCACCCTGAAGCACCCTAGGAGACCTAGAGAGGTAAGTGACTTGCCTGAAGTCTCCCGCCACCAAGTGGCAGAACCAGAACTTGAACCAGGTATACTGACTTAGTCCAAGGCTCTTTCCTCTGGACCAAACTGTAGGCGGGGAGGGAGCATCTGTTCCCAAAGCAGTTCCCAAACAGGGCTGCCTGCCCCTGCCCCTGCCCAGCTGCGCTCGCTCTGCCCGGTGAGGCCTCTGACAGACACCCACAGACCACAGGGCAGCCAGCGCCCACCCTCCTTCTCAGACTCAACTACTGAGCAAGCTAGTGTTTTCAAACCACAGTCCAGACCACAGTGCAATCCATCTGGAAAATCCTAACCAGCATTAAAATGCAACGACATGACGTGAACGGAAGAGAAAGCGTCAGAGGTCCTATGGGAAGGACTGTCTTAAGAAACTTGTTTCCCTCGTGTGTACACGTGAGCTCCTCTGTCTCTTTTTTCTCTACCGAGTCAGTCTAAAATGTGTTTCTTAACGTAGGTCAGGGCCAAAGAGGCTGAAAGTCACTGTACACAGTGGTACCTCCCAGGGTGCGGAGTGCTGTCAATCACCCAAGTATTCTTAAGGTCTGCTAGGGGGCTGTGTGCTGGGAGGGGTTGGATAAGGCCCTGTTAACAAACTGGGGCTGAAGAAAAACCACAAAAAGGAAAGGAACAGCCGGACACCCCAGAGAAGGCACACTCTGGACAGGGCAGGGCAGGGCTGAGATGGGCTAAGAGTCTCAGAGATCAGACAGAAGCCAGAGAGGAGAGGGCGTGGGAGGCAGGCACTGCAGGCAGGGGACCTGCATGAACAAACACGTGGAGGCTGAGGAGGAAGGTTACACCTGGACGCAGGGCGTGGGCCACAAGAGGGAGGAGGTCACAGACACCGTGGGTCCCTCTTCCCGCACATGCTGGCGGTCCGGTAAGAGCACACCAGGACCGACCAGAACTCCAGGGCTTCTGAAGACGGCAGGCGGGCTCAGGCCCACGTGCCCTTTGCAGGGAGCAGCCCAGTCAGCCCCGGATTCCTGCGGGATCAGCGCTGCCCCTCCGCAAGGCCCAGCTGCTTTTATTTGAAAGGAGAATTGTAGTGAGAGCCAGAGAAACCCCCTGGTGCACAGGAGCCTTGGGGAGCCGAGCTGACCCACCATAACCTGCCCCAGGAACACCTCCACCTGCACAGGGCCACGGGGCTGGGTGCTTTCACTCTCATCTCCTTTTAACCTTTATAAACAACTGGATGACATGGAGATTACTGCCCCCAATTCTAAAGGAGAAAACCAAAGCCAGAGAGCTTAACTATCGGCCGAAGTCATTCAGCTTCTGGAGGGTGGCCTTGGGCCTGATCCTGGCCTTGTCTGCCCACCACTCCGTACTGCCTCCCAAGCTCTTGGCCTCTGACCCTGAGGGCACTGCTCAGACACAAGTGGACCGCCTACACCAAGCTAAAACCAAGGAGGTTTTTAGAAGGTGACCATCCCCTTGAAGAGACGGCAGTGAGGTAGAAGGGCAAGCCCAGCCCAACACCTGGTGCCATTTCACACCCCAGGCCTCCTCCGGGCTCTCCCTCACTTGATGACTATAATAAGCAAGGATGAGCCCCACTCCCCCCCCAATACGTTCTCCAATGTCAGGACTGGGAAGAGATCGTGCAATCAGAGATCAAATGCAGCCGGTGCCAGCTCTCAACAAGTCGGCAGCCCCTGGCCCACCCCCACACACACAGGCACACTGTCACGTCCAGGGAGAAGCACCCTCCAAGGTCCACAGACCCCAGTGAGGGAGGACATCAGGGACATGCGATGCGGAGGCGGGGCCCCTGGCCACACCTTATCCGAAGGACCCTCCTAGTGGCCCAGGACCAGGCACCACATCCCACTGCCCCTGGGGTTCCCAGACACAGGCCTTCCCTTTGCTCACCTCTGAATCCAATCCCGATGAGCAAGGCAGTCGTCTCCCATTGGCCACAAACCCCAGCAATTCCGAAACCTCTAACTCATGTCAAATCGTCCCTAAAACTTCCAAGACCTATTAATTCAGACTTCATTTTCAGGCTTAACTAATTCTTCCTGAATTTCTCATCCTAGTTATCAAAACCACACACACAGTTTCCTTAGAGCGAAGCTAAGTGTGTGGGGGCTTCTCCCCACTCTAGTTTGAATGGCCCGCTGCCCGAGGGCAGGTCCATCTGAAAGATCCGTTCCCGTCCTGCACAGGGCAGGGCAGGGCTGGGACCCCCGAGCCCCGTCCTCACTCTTCTGGTTTCTAAGCATGTCAGCCTCTGTGACAGGCTGGAACTGCACCTACTTCACACGGACACTTTTTTTAAAAGTCATCAAAGGGAAAATGTTAAATAAGTTGACCAAAAATGTTTACATTTCCCTGCATTTGGGAAATATGAGTAATAATGGTCTCTTTCAGTATCTTCTTTACTGTATTTTCCTAACTTTTTCGTTCACATATCCTACTTTCAAAGTGGCAAATAGTAAGTCACCTTAAAAAAGCACACATTAAACAGTAACGTAGAGTCCTGACAGGGCAGCTCGCTTGGTCAGAGCGCTGTCCCCACACACCCAGGCTGCAGTGCCATCTCGTTAGGGCACAGACAAGAAGCATCAGTGAATGCGTGAGTAAGTAGAACAACAAATTCACGCTTCTCTCCCCATTCTTCTCTCTTTAAAATCAATTTTAAAAATTTAAAAAGTACTGTTATGCATTTCCTCCTGCCAAAACAGTTGTGTTCTCACACAGTGAACTCCCGAAGGGCATGAATCTCACCTTAGACCAGTGGTTCTCAACCTTCTGGCCCTTTAAATACAGTTCCTCATGTTGTGACCCAACCATAACATTATTTGCGTTGCTACTTCATAACTGTAATGTTGCTACTGTTATGAATCGTCATGTAAATATCTGATATGCAGGATGGTCTTAGGCGACCCCTGTGAAAGGGTCGTTCGGCCGCCAAAGGGGTCGCGACCCACAGGTTGAGAACCGCTGCCTTAGACAGTGGGCACCATTGGGAGGAAGATAACTAGACCAGTGATGGCGAACCTATGACACGCGTGTCAGAGGTGACACGCGAACTCATTTTTTTGGTTGATTTTTCTTTGTTAAATGGCATTTAAATATATAAAATAAATATCAAAAATATAAGTCTTTGTTTTACTATGGTTGCAAATATCAAAAAATTTCTATATGTGACACGGCACCAGAGTTAAGTTAGGGTTTTTCAAAATGCTGACACGCCGAGCTCAAAAGGTTCGCCATCACTGAACTAGACCATCTCCTCTGGAAGGAAGAGCCACCCGGGGAAAGACCATCACAGAACTATACCTCCAGCTTCCGTAACGCAAACCCTGCTTTTCTCAAATCAACGGATGTTGCTGATCAACAGCCTATCATTCGTGAGCAGATTCACATGTGAATGTGTATTTCAAAACCACAGCCTGTGTTCGAACCCCTTTGACAAAACTATTTATCTAATGCGCCGGGGCTGTACCCGAACCTCCCACACATTGCTCGGCTCAAAGTAGTGTCTACCTTCCAAAAAGCAGGGGGAGGGAAGGGGAACAATCGCCAGAAGAAAGTAACTTTCCAGACATTTTTCTCACCTTCTGGTTTTCAAAGATTGGGTCTCACATGTCCTACTTCTCATGCCAGAATCCCAGCGTGACTCAGAAGTCAGCTACCCAGGATATGGGTGGAAACCCATCTAGGAATGCACCAGAACCAGGCACCCAGCTGCACCAGGGCCTTTCATCATGATCGTAAACAAAGTTGAAAGCTCCCAAACACATGTAATACACAAATTAAAAACCTTACCCTCCCCACGATTTCATCTGTAAGTACTAGAGCAGTGATGGCGAACCTTTTGAGCTCGGCGTGTCAGCATTTTGAAAAACCCTAACTTAACTCTGGTGCTGTGTCACATATAGAAATTTTTTGATATTTGCAACCATAGTAAAACAAAGACTTATATTTTTGATATTTATTTTATATATTTAAATGCCATTTAACAAAGAAAAATCAACCAAAAAAATGAGTTTGTGTGTCACCTCTGACACGCGTGTCACAGGTTCGCCATCACTGGCCTAGAGCCTCACCCCATCCGCTGGATCCTGCTGATCTTTAATAGGTTTTCAGGACCTGGCCTGGGGTGTTCAGGCTCTGCGCCTACAAACCAAGTGGTGGGGGTGGAGGATGGTACTCCACTGGGAAATGCCTGCACGGCACCAGCACCAGAACACAGTCCTTTAGTCATTTACTGAACACATGTTCGTTCCCTGCGTCTCCGCCTGGTGCTCTGGGCCAGTCTGTGCAGGTCCGCATGAACCTGCCCTTGGCCCTGGGGCGCTCACAGCTGTGGTGGCAGGAGGCACATCTGTAATGGGCACAGACACCAGGGAGACAGCCAGGGGCCAGCTGAGGCTCCCGTGCCAGGATCGGGTGGCTGACCCGTGGGAAGACTGCACTAGTAGCTTGGACACAGGGCCCAGCTCCGCCCCTGCTGCTGGCACTAAGCGTGTCACTCGTCTCTTCGTCTTTCAGGCGGAGAGCACTTGAGGTGACTGGCCAGGCCGTTTCTGGTCCTAACGTGCTAAAGTGCTACAAAGGAAGTGAATAAAGATGCTGCCTAGAGAGAGAACAAACTGGAATGCATGCAGCTCACCACTCGCCAGGGATAGGGACTGAGAGAGACGCACAGGCAGTCCCCTGGCAGGGGAGTCCTCAGGCTCAGAGGAAGTT